GCAAGGCATAGGAAGCTGAAAATTCCTTAATTGTAAACACTGCTTGGCAACAACTAAAACATTAGTGTGTTATCAACATTATTTTCATGCTGAATCCAAAGCACAGCACTATACCAGCTACTAGGAAGAAAATTAAGTCTATCCCAGCTGAAACCAGGACACTCATGAACTACTAAGGCATCTAAACACAAAGTCAATGGACAAATGTAATTGTGTATCTAATGCAGATACAATAATGCTAATTTAAAATAGGCAGTGCATATCTCCTGTGCCAGCAGAGCTGCTCTGATTCAGATAAAATCTGAAGGCTCAGGAAATGACAGGAGAATATTTGCTGAACTAACTTCTACATGGACTCCAATCCATCACCCAAAATTTGTTGTGGAACAGAAATAGAAGTAACTTACAGATGAACTGCTTGATTAGGGATCTAGGCTCACCATCCTGTACAAATCCTGACAGACACCCATAATCCTCTAGAAGGGCAGTCATGTTTAAAACAAAGAAATAAGAATTCTCTTACCCTCAGATCTGAATGTCAGTTGCTCACATATGTACATTCCTGTTTCATGTGGTCCATCCCTGGAGGTATCAATGGACACTGGATACTATGGACAAAAAATTGGCAGTGTAGATGAATCTGTCATAACCAGCATGCTCTGTACATGATTAATTTGTAAAATGGCACATGTTGCATCAATATTTATATTTGATCCATTGAGACATCTAGTTAGTTCACCATATGGGAAGCATTACAGTTTTGTGAGCCTACAATGTCATTTCTTACACAGGGTGGGTGTATATAACAAAAATAATTGTGTTTATGTAGCAAAACATACTCACGCAGGCTGTATCAATTGAACTCTTGCACAGCCATTGAAAATACAAATAAAAATATCATTAAAAAATATCCAAGCAATACAGAAAATAGTTCACACAGAGAGTCCAAATGATGTGTATTCAGAAGAGAAGAGGAGTTTTCCTATGCTGGAGCCAGCAATGACTGAAGCTGGAAATACCACCCAACAAGCAGTATTTTCAGATGTTTAATTATAAAAATGAGAGGAAGGGGGAGGGAGAGAAGGAAGGGTGAACTGAGATATCAGCTCAGAGACAGTGAATTTCAGGCCTTTGGCTCAGCAAATGTGCAGTTACCTGCCAATTTAAAGGGCAATGGATAGTTCCAAAACATGGTGTCAGAGCAGGAGACTGCCTAGGTTGAAGATCATCAAGAAACCTGTGGATATAGTTGTGACTGTCCATGCTGAGGACCTGAAGCCCCACAAGACTATCTTTAAGTTTCTTGCCAGCACTTCCATGTTTTAATGTGGGCAAGGGACTGGCTTTGGTTAAAATCGGTTTCTTTTTGTCCAATTGATGCTGTTAATAGCAGTACTGCAGCACTGCAGGCTTTCAACAGCTAGTACAGGCAGGAGCTGGAGCTCCTGGGTGGTGTTAACATCAGTCCCTTTGCCAAAGTTACGGATATCACTGTCCAAGTCCATGTTGGATGGTATGGGGACGCTCCAAGAGTCCAAGAACAGGGCTGACAGTGGTGAGTGCACCCATAGACTATTAAACAGATGGTGGTTACACCAGACTGGCTTTTTACTTGTTATTCTTCCTTCTGAACAGGGACGAGCTCCAAGTGCCCCGCTCGTTCCTTAATGGACCATCTTGGCAAGATTACAAAACTGCTTCCCTTCTCCCCATTCCATTCAAGACTGATGGAACTGAAAGTATCGAGCTATTGCTGGATTGACTGGTTCATGGAGTCAGTCTGCTCACCTGCAGGATAACTCTTGGGTCAGAAAATACACAGGATGTTATTTATAAGGTCTTTCTTTCCTCAGAATATGAAGCTTCCCCTTTCTGCCTTTCTGCTTCTTAATTAAAAAAATCACCTTACCTTGATCAGTAAGATGGACTGTACAGGAAGCAGCACAAAACAAGTTAGAGATGGTAAAGATCCTTTGAGCTATTTGGGTTTCAAGGAATTCTTTCCGCACTATAAAAACTTGGCTTTGGAGCAGTGAAATTTGGGATTTTCCCTTTGCATACAGTTAATTAAGCCCTCATTTTTTGGAAAGCTTTCTGCAGATTGAGGACAGCTCTATCTGTTTTAATGATTGACAGTATAATACGTATAGCATACAGCATAATGTCAGTGAGAAGTTGATGATGTACAGACTCGAAAGATCTTACTCCCCGTCTGGTGGGTCTCAGGCTTAAGCCTCTGGCCCCCAGTCCTGGAATCTCAGGGGCTTTCTCACCTTGGAGAAAACTGGACATGTTTGTCAATTAACAGTCCAAGAACTTCTAGCAGATACTTTCTTCCCAGGAAGGGTGATACTCACTGTGTTTTGCTTCCTTGCCCTTCCAGCCCTGTCTCTTCCCCTTTGCCACTTAGAATCATAGAATAGTTTGGGTTGGAAAGGACCTTTAGAGGCCATCTAGTCCAACCCCCCTGCAATCATCAGGGGGACATCCTCAACTCAGTCAGGTTGCTCAGAGCCCCATCCAACCTGACCTTGAATGTTTCTAGGGATGGGGCATCTACCACCTCTCTGGGCAACCTGTTCCAGTGTTTCACCATCCTCATAATAAAATATTTCTTCCTTGTATCTAGTCTAAATCTACCTCTTTTAGTTTAAAATCATTCCCCTTGTCCTATCACAACAGGCCTTACTAAAGGCCTTATTTGCTTTAAGAGTGGCAGTATTTTCAACATGGAGAATTTTCAAAGGATCCGAGTGACCAAGGTGGTCACTGTAATGTGTTTCTAAATGACTTTGCAGCTTTTGGAATCCATTGTCAAAGCTGAACAAAAGCTGTTTCATTATGTACTGTTATTAAATACACTTTCACTTTGGAAATGATTGGAAGGCTTGGGGATGGGGAAACGGGCTCTAATGTTTATGTAGACAAGAGTAAAGTGCTTCCAAGGTATTTTTCCTCCATAAAGTAGCAAGAACGCACCGATTTTCATCTTGAAGCCAAGAAAGAAATCTGGTTTATTCTCTTAAAGATTTTCTTTGTAAGAAGCCATTTCCTGGCCCAAATCTGATGGGGGCTTTTATTCTCAAGCCCTGTTATTGAAGGGAAAGTCCGCCCTGTGGATGGGAGGGATGGTGCCATTGACGGGAAGGCTGCAAGGGCCGTCCCCAGTTCCTCCACTCACAGGGAATTAGGGTGAAGATGACGGGTTAAAAACAACAAAGTTTTTTGGAGGTATATTTGTGGATTCAGTGGCTGCTCTTTCCATGCCTTCAGAGAGGGTCTCTCAAGTCAAAGTGTGTCAGTGACCTAGTAAATGTGGGAGGAAATGGCTTGTCTTGAACCCCAGTGTCAGAAGAGGGGGAACTTGTTCTTTCAGAGGCTTTGCTGGCTTACACTGGTTTACATCATGTGGGAAACTAGAGCGTAAATGCAAAGCATGTGATTGCTAACTCCCCATTCTTTGCCTCCTCCATTATAGTCCTGCAGATTCCTCATGCAGCACTGGAAGTAAGTGTAGTTCAACACTCATTATATTCCCTTTATTCATTTGTGTGCTCACATAGTGCTAATAACAATACAGTGCAATAAAAGATAGCACTAGAATCTTAAATTAAACGCAGCCTTTCCAGTATCTCAGCAGGGTGGCAGGCAGGCATATATTTCCAGCTGCCTTTCAGCAACCCCATTAATAAATCATATTTATTTCCCTGAAAGGAGAACTGCTGGGACATCCTTCTGTTTTGGGGGCAGAATCACATTCAATATCCCAAAATTATTTGTTGGACATGGGTGTGAAGTTTAGACTTGAGAATTGCAACTGCCAGAAACTCCATGGTCTTCTTCCTACCTTCCTTTAACTCCCATTTATACAGGATTTTTCCTGTAGCTTTTGTCTACTAACTTACATGCTGTTCTAGTTAATGAGCAGCATTTCTCTTGTAAGTATTTAGGATGATCATCCTTTCTCAGCATGTGTCTGTCTCTAATGATTTACCCAGACAAACACTGCATCAGAACACATCTGAATGCTGGCGGTCTTTGATCCCTGTAATACATCTGGACTTAGGCAGTGGCCAGTGTCTTCTAAAACAAGGGGGAATGTTTGAGTTCAGGTCCAAATTACATTGCTTACACGCAGGCAGTCTCAGATAAACAGCCCAAGTTCTCTGAATATTTCCCTGCTTACCCTATTTTTCAAAATGTTTGTTGTTTTGATTGTTCCCTAAGATATCTCTCCAACTTTCCTCTGGCTTTATTATAAGAAGGCAAGGAAGGGAGAGACCCAACAGCCTTATTTGAATAAGTGTGATTAGTGACAGTCCTGCTAACTCATTTGCCAAGAAACTGTTTATCTACAGAGAATAAATCTTCCACTTATTTTTAATAGTAGAATCTCTGCTAATAACTTGCGTAATGACAACTCTTATTTCAGTAGAAATTTATGTTTTAAGAATGAATTGCTGATTATTTTGAGGAACTTACATGGTCAGTAAACAATATACATAGACTAATGACAATAAGTAAGTCTTATCAACCTCAAGATCTACAAATGTGCAATGGTCACCATCATAACCTGGAAATGGTTTGTGAATAAGGAAAATTACCACAACAATCTCTATAGCTACAGGGAGAGCACTGTGACTACTCTAGTAATACCTGTCCGTGGATGCAAAGCTGCAGATTTTACCTGGAAAAAGTTTAGGTAGGTATAGAAAATTATGAAAATACCATTCAAAATGAAGCTTTAAGCGAAATCATTAGATTTTTTTTTATTATTTTTTTTTTTACAATTGAACATCTAGCTTGATACAGTGTAAGCATCTTGAAAATTTCATAATTGTGTAAGCAGTCTTATGGTACTGACTGGCCAAAAATACACCAGACCTGCTTCCATTGAAGTACTTTCGCATTGCAAGTATCTTGAGCCATCTGATTAATAAGGTCTTTTTTCAGGTACTGCAAAAGTGTAATCAGAACTGAATGTTACACTCCCCCTTAAGATCCCAATCTGAAGCAGAGCTCATTCAGTGAGCAGCACACTGGAACTTGTAACAGCACTCTGAATTTTTATGTGGTGAAGGGCTATGACCAGAATTCTGGTTACGTGGGTTAATTTTTGTTTAAGGAATCACATTTTTCTCTTCACTAAGAATCACAGTAGTTGTCCATTTCTTTGAGGATGTCTTTGAGCTCCTCAGATGGAAATTGCTATACAAACGTGAAACACTGTTTTAATCTGTAGTGTTTGAAGGAAGTTAGAGTGGGTTAGTATGCAATTTGTGGTGATATCTGGAAAAACTAGTGTTTGTGAAACTCTCTTCAGTTAAATCTTCTGAATCAAAGTTCATGTTCTTAGTGTTAGTGAAGGGGGTTGCTGAATAAACAACTCAACACCATTCCAAATGAGTGCTCCTCTGATCACAGTGTTCTCTTCCCATTTAGGTTTTCAGTCAGATGCCTATCTTAGTCTTGACCTCAATGTTTAGAGATACTTTAACCTTGCAAACAAAATAATGGGGACCTCTGGTTGTTGTCATTAGAAAATTGGCTGCGATGGAATCATTGGCTCAGCTGCCAAAGAGGATCGCTGTGGAATCTGCAGTGGTGATGGCAAAACCTGTAAAGTGGTGAAAGGCGACTTCAACCACACCAAGGGGATGGGTGAGTAACCCTCAGCAGCATTTTAGTGGAGTGGAGGTTCTCTTAACTGCTTGAGGAGAGTTAAAGACTGGTAGTAATAGCTCCTCTTCTTAGATAGTATTGGACTCATCTGCTCTAGTAAACACATTAGAAACACAAAACAAAACTCAGCTCAATTCAAATGTGATATTCTGACCGCTTCTTATTCAGTTGCCCAGATACGAGCCATTGCCTCTGTCTGAAATTCAGAATGAAGTTGTGTTTCTTATTTTGAATGCTACCGGTGCTGTTGATTTTAAGTCAGAGACAAAATCACAGTATCTTTTCCAGTGGGAGGGAAGTCTGATATCAGCACGATCTTTGAGCTCTCAAAGAGCTCAGAATGATGCATGTTACATGTTGCAGATGATTCATGTTATAATCAGGATATCTCAGCTAAATGAAAGAGCACTCCCCTGTGAATATTTTTACTGATTCCCTGCCAGCAATAGTATCCATTATAGGATACAAGAGCTTCTGGTCAGAGTTAAGACTTCCCCCTCTCTTCTTAAACATTAATGTATATACAGCTTGGTGTTTTAATTAGTCTTTGTTTCAGAGTTTCTGTATCCTGCTTTTGAGAAACCTGTTATCACACATCCTAATCAGGTAAAGGGAAGGAAAGCCAGATTCAGGAATTGTCCAGAAAAAATTACTTCACATTCAGTGAATACAGAATGGCCATTTCTGTATGGAGAAATACATTCAATACATGCTACTCCAGTACCAAGTGCAGCAAAGCACATAAAGATTCCCTTTAAGCACACACTTCAGTTCTGTTTAGTTACTAGAGCAGCACCAGTGCTTAGCAGCTTCCTTTAATCAAGGTCTCAGCACTGAAGTCTGAGACTCGGATTTTATTCATTGACCTCTTCCTCTGCACCCTTCTCCTCCTTATCTGTAGAGCCCGCTGTGATCTGTCACCTCCTCTGAGATGCAGGTAGGATTTCCCACGTGCACCACATCTTCCTGGAGCACATTTGTGCTGTTGTGTTGCTAGGCCAACCTGTTGAATGATTTCCTGCATTATTGCCTTTGACTCTTTTGTCCCAGTTGTTTTCCACCTACTTATGTCAAGGCAGTTGCATTTGATGCAAATGGTGGGAAAAGTTTCTCATTTACATTGAAAACAACTACTCTCCATTTCTGTGGCAGATTTTATAGCTGTTCATGAACTTCTTTATTGCTCCTGAAGAGTAACTATCTTTTATCTTTTCTGATGAGATGACGAAACATCTTGTGCAGATAAATAAGAAATTTCTGGGTCACTGCCAGGAGTTTACACCCGTTTCCAACTAGATGAGAGTGGTAACTTTACAAGGCTGTAGGAACAGAACAGTTTCAGCCATAACTGGTTGTCTGGCTGCCAAGACACTACGGGAGGCTTTCACCCCCAGTGCCCTGTAACCTAATAAGAAGAGATGGCTGACTGAACTGTGATCAGTATTCAAGCATTTATTGATCCTTATCGTTTGCTGATCATCTCAGAAGTGCAAACCTGTCAAAATGTTGCTTTGTCAATGCAATGTTGCCACCTTTATCCGTCTCACATAATCTGCAAGATAATTGTTTTTACAATTATAATCTCATAAACATTTATTAGATGTTTTGATTTATTAATTTTAAAGGGAACTCAATTTTGTGTGGGAATAATTTTTAGAAGTGACACCCTCGAATTGCCAAACGATATCATCCTGGGTTTTTTGTTTTGTTTTGTTTTGTTTTAAATTATGCTCTTTTAATGTGCATCCTAGCCTACTAAAATCGAAAGAATATCTACAGTCTTTTAATTGTTCACTGTCCATGTTTTTCTGCTTTTAGATTTCTTTTATGTTAGACACTGAAAACAGACTTGTTGGTTTCACTAATGATTCCCAGCCCCGATTCTGCAAACATTTTCTGCATTGTGAGTTACTCCCATCGATTTCTATTCATGTAATGCTAGTTTGCAGAATCAGGTCCTTAGATTAACCTACTGAATCTCACGCAGTAGGCAAAGCTCCAGGGTTGGGTCTGAGGTATCACAAGTGAACATGCAGTTACTCAAGAAGAAAATTGGCCTTTTTTCTTTAAATTGACATTTAAGCAAATATGTACAAAATCTGACAAAAGTTGTGGCAAAGAAGAATACACAATAGGACTACGGTAACAGATACAGGGTCTGGATGTGTAAATGATTGCACAGGTCAGTGGCAAATCCCCACGAACTTCCTGTGATCCAAGTCAAGGCCAACACACTGTATCAAGTATGCTGATTTATTATTTCAGAAGAGAATAGACTTCAAATATCAAGACATTGATTGTTTTGGAGTGGTATCTGTTTCGGGAATTGCAGCTGCAACCTTTGGGCCAAATCCTCAGCTGCTCTGCACGTGGGACTCCATTGACTGCGGGATTGGTCCTGTGATTGCAAATGATGTTGTCAAGCCCTATTAACTGAACTAAATCCATGCCAACTCCTTTCTGTTTCTTAGTAACCAATAGTCATTGTAAGAAGGTTTCCACATGTGTGATGGCAAAGGCAAAGGCTGTTCCCAAGTGTTTCTCGTGTAAGATACTTGAATGCTGTTTGCAGTGTCAGTGGGTGTTGGTGACATCCTTTGGTGTTGGTTCTTTGTCTTCTTTCGGTTGGATTAGATGGAGAGATTAGTATCAAAAGCCATGGATAAATTTCAAGTCCTTTTACTATTTAGCTTGGTTTGTCAAAGATGTCAAGTACAGATCCTTTCCTTTTAGATAACCTGTCTGCATGAAAGAAAGCCAAATTTTTATTAATCAAGTAAAAAGAACTGGGCCTGTTTCTTTTTTTTTCCAACCTTAATGTCCAAGATGAGGTTCTGCCACCCCGGTGGGGCATAATGGTGGAACACCCAAAGTGCCTCGTAGGAGGTCCAACAGTTCAGATCTTGCCACCTGTGATCCAAGGTGATCCAGCTGTGAACGAATTCCATTTATCTTTTGGGGAGGAGGTCAAAAGCCTTTATTTGTGATGCTAAACATCACATACACTTGTGTGCAGCTGGCTGTCTTCAGTAGGCCAACTGAATGCACTGTTTAGACTGAGGTTTGCTTTTGACTGGCAGTGTGCCCTGTACCTATTTCTACAAAATAATTTTTCAAAAGCAAACACAGACTTGTTCTGAAGTCCATCTATGTCACCCTGCCACTGTACAGGGGGCCTAGAACTAAAGGACAGCTCTTTGGCTCATGTCTTTGGGTAGCTGATTTATCACTGACAACTTCTGTCCAGACTCCAAGGCTGTGCCTGTAATGCTCAGAGACCTGCATTGAGAATGAGCCCTGCATCTGTCTCTCTTGGCTTTTCTCTCAGCCATATCAAGATTTTCATTGCTGCTGTTTGCTTGTGATCCAAAAGCAGGGCCACAGATAATTTGGAATTTTTTAACAGCAGACCCTAATAAGGTGAGATATGCCGGTTGTTGTAACTGTCATTTTGGGAAAGGAAGAGTGTATCTTTGCTAGCAATTTTTCTTTTTAAGATGGTGAAAAAGCAGGCTTTTTGTTGTACGTTACTTGTCCAGCACATATTTAAAAGAAAGAAAGGATATTTGAACAGTAGTGCTGTAGTGCTGACTAGGAGCATCGTTAGCCAACACAAGAAACTCTTTTTTTGTCAATAGGGTGTACATCTAAATTATGAGAAAATAAAACCCTAGGGCTAACTCTGGGATGTCTTATAAGAGTTTAAGCAGAAGATGCAAGTTAGAAATCCCAGTGACCGACTTCACAGCAATAGTAGGAGGCTTTGAAATCTATCCATGGCTCCCCAGTGAAATGATTTTCTCCCAAATTAGCTATCCCATGGCTGGAAGTGGACAGGTGCCAATGGAGGAATTACTCTCATGCTAATAGCAAGTGAGAATCATCACAACTATTCAGAAAATGGACATGCATGTTTCCTCTCCACTGCAACAACTAGCACTCAGCAAAAGATGCGAAGTGGGAAGGGTCATGGAAACTGAGATGCCCAGCTGGTACTTACTTATCCCTAAAATATTAAGGAAGCTGTGCTGGCTGTGACCAGCAGGTAGGTAGGGCAGTGTGATTTCCTTGGCTTCTACCCTGAGATCTTTGTTCAAAGCGCTTTGGGGAAGTTTGATAATGGGATGAGCACTGTTGACTTTCTCACACCTGATTTTTTATGGGTGTACAGGGGTAAGATATAAAGTGCCCAGAGATCGGTATTTTCAGCCATGGGATAATTTTTCGTTTACCTGGAAGTCCATCTTTAAATGCAATGTGAACCAGGCAAAGAGTTTTGTAGTAGATCAGCCACATTCTGAAGTTCACATTAAACTTTCTGTTCTTTCTGGGAATAATAACAATGGCTAACAATGGATTTTCCTGTGTGAGCTGCTTTCCTCTTGCAAATCTCTCCAGCATTTAAATGAAGATACAGTAGCCACTGTTCACATATTAATCTGCTTGATGACAAAGCCACCTCTTTGTTCTGGTGTCTCTCCTAATACGAGTTACACCATATAATTTGTATCTAGGATTTGCTTCAATCACGGTCCTACATTCCTGAGACACTGATGTAATGCAGATTATCCAGAAAGATTGGTGCGTGCCAAAGTAACTGTTCCCAAGGTGGAGTATACTACATACAGCACTATAAATTATCAAATAATGAAGTTCTCTTGTTGTACTTTCAAAGCTTCATCTTAAAAGGCTGATTTATGGGTGAAATTACTAGAAATACTGCCTGATATTTGCCAAATCTCATCAGTCTTTAACCAGTGCCTCATTTAAAGCAGATCTTTAAGCCCAACCTTGCAAACCCCTGCATTGCAGACAATTATCCTAAGACCTAACAGATCTTTGAGAGTCCTTGACACAGGGCCAACACTGAGACTTTTTTTAGTTTTACTAGCTGACACTTGATAATCTTTCTGGCAATCTGCAGTTACAGTTTGCTTAATAAAATGTGCCTGGAAAACAACGGAGGTTTTTTCTGGTGCAGTTATCACAAAGATCAGGAATATTCTGTGACCAGAAGCCTCACGTTAGCTCTAAGGACCAGACTGGAGTGGTGGTAGCAATCTGAGTTTGTGGCAAATTTGCATGGATGTTATATAGTCTGTTTGCAATAGGATTTGACCACTAACTCACACAGTATTGCTGGAAATAATGAATGAGAGTGTCAAGATGCTCTCGGTGGGACATGCCCAAGAATTCTGCTTCATCTCTGAAAGGGGAGGTCAGATCCATACAACTGCAAAGTTGTTCACAGTTCACTAACAGAATAGTGAAGGTCAGCAGTCAGGTTTGTGCCACATGATCTCAGTGAGTTAGCACAGTATGTTTCTTCTTATTCAGGAGCTGTGAATATAACCCCCCAAAGCCATCAATCAGGATTAGAAATTACATGAGGAGAAAAATCTGGTATAAGACCAAACTAAACAGTCTCCAGAACTAATACACTATTAATAGCTTACACTCCACTATTTACCATTGTAAAAAGTAACATAAAAGTCAACTTTTCCACGTGGTGTTTCTCTCATGGCACAGTGATGAAATGAGAGCGTATTTATGGCACTAGCTGAACCTCAAGCACAGCTCCACAGCTCGCTCACCCCTAAAGCAGTGTGGCACACTCCTGGCTGCTGCTAGGTTGGGGGACCGATCCAAAGTTCACTGAAGTTAGTGACTGAGTTTCCACTAAATTCAGTGTAACTTTGTGTCCAACCCCTGCATGATTTAACTCTGGGTGTTTGTATCTGGTATGTGATTTAAAAAACAAGTAATCAGTCCTCCAGTATGTACATTAAATTACCTGAAACTTGGGCATGTTCCAAACTGGCTTCCTAATAGTGCTGTTCAGGTGTGTCATAGGACCTATTTCCCCATGACAGACTGTCATTAATCACACCGTTGCTGTGTGCTCATGTCTGGTGGTAATTGTCGGTCGGGTTTATATGCAGATGCATGGAGCGCAGTAGGGATGTTTGATTTCTGAAACACTCTGTTTTGACTGTAATTTAGTATCTCAGCTGATGAAAAACCAACTCCTGGCAATGTCTAGAATAAAATCCAACATCTGTTTGCTTTGATTTTATAACAGATTTCAGGATTGCCTTAAAAAAAATTGACCCTGGAAGTAACGATTTTTCCCAGTGAAACCCACTCTGTAATAGCAGACAGGAGAGCCACTGCTCTGGCTTCTGTACACAGACCTGGTTTGCAGCTCTGCTCTCCCTCTTTCTTTTTTTTCCTGCAAGGGATGACTGACTGTTTCTGAGATATTCTGAGTAAAGACGTAAGTAAGGAGGAACAAGTGCAAAAAGAACTGAGCTGAAAGGCCAAATGGAATGTGTAATTCAGATACAATGATCAGGGAA